TTATAAATTTGATTGAGTTGATTTTCTTATTCTTTTTTCCAAGAATTTTGAGTATATATTATAGAGTGTTGATTTATGTTAATTTAATTATTTTATAATTTTTTAAAATAGATTTTTTAAAATGTTTTTAGATACTTAACGACAAAATGAAATGGGTAATTTTTTTTACACATCTATTCTGTCAGTAAATCCATCGGTAATAATATTTTTTTATTATCAACGAATTTACCAATGGATAAAAAATTACCAATAAAAGATTCATCAATCGTGCATTCCCATCTGTGATTTCGTTAGTAAGCTAATTACCGACAGAATATTTGTTTTATGTCATGAAAAAATTTCATCGATAAAACTATTAAATATTGTAGCGGAATATTATCAGTAATAAATATTTCCCATAAAAATATAAAAAATTAATTTATTGATCTAAATTTACTTGTTGCACATATGATATAATAATTTTAGCTGGGTTAATATCATCCATCAAGGCATATTTGATTAAAAGTTATGTCTTTTGGGTCCATTTTGGATTTTTTTATGAGGCATGTTAATTAAAAGTTGCATCTTTTGGGTTCATTTAGAATTTTTTTACTTTGCATCTTTCAGGTTCATTTTGAATTTTTTTCATGAATAATCAAAATAACAAGTTCTTTTTTAAGAGATTAATGTCAAAATCTGCGATAAACAAATCTTATTTTTAGAGGACTAATGATAATATTTTCATAAATAACCAAAACAATAATTCTATTTTTAAAAAAGAGACTGATATCAAATCATTGTTCATGATAGTAATTTATCTCTAGTAACAAACATGGATATATTAGTTGAGACAAAACTTTTAACATCCAAGTACAATAGATATATCTATCATTAAATGCCTTAGATATAACACACATAATGATTATTATCTTTCCTGTTATATAATTAGTAACTAGAATAGTACTTTATATACAGAAATCAAGTTATGCGACTCTAACGCAATATGCCAATATATCTGTGCTCATGGGCGGGGGGGTGTTCTCCAGTTATGCCATCATCTCTTATTTGGAGAAAGATCTTTGGAATCCGATTATGCACTTTCAAAAGCTGCAAGATGGAGATGTCGAGAATTAGTGCGCGACAAACAGATGTTGCCATGGCCTCAACGTCACAGCAAGAATTGGGTTCATGTCAAGGGCCTCCCAAAACCATCATTATAACCTCATTGTTTCTTCTCCCCCAGTGAAAAACGATCATTTCTACCAAACATAAGACGACCTCCCTTCCAAAAAGAGAAAAACCTCGTTATCAGAGCCATCAATTCATCAACCTCCGCCATCTCCATTAGCCATCGTGAACCAACACTAACAGCCCACCACTCAGAAGGATAACAAATCAGTGCGTGAGATACGTGGGCTAGTCTGCCTTTTCCCACTGTTTGTTTTTGGGTGTTTTCCGTCGATTTCAAAGCCCTAATAAACGTTTGTCTTATCTTGGTGTTGTGTATGTTGATATTTTATTTGTTAATGAATTTTGTGGATGTGTGAGTACAAATATTACCAGAAATAAATATTTCCCATAAAAATATAAAAAATTAATAATATAAAAAACTTATTTATTGACGTAAATTTATTTGCTGCACATATGATATAACAATTTGGTTGGTGTCACCATCACCCCCCACCAAGGCATGCTGATTAAAAGGGCTACAAGATGGAAATGTAGGAAATTAGTGCGCGACAAAGAAATGTTGCCATGGCCTAAACTCCACAGCAAGAATTTGATTTAAAGGGCCTGTCATCATGTTCTTTGCTTCACAGTCTGGTTTACGTGCTATCTTCTCCACGTATCACAACAATGATTGGCTTCTGTGTTTCTGCTCAAGAGTCCAAACTGCTCAAACCTAAAGGATAAGCTTATCTCAATAAACAGTCCAAGCCGGTGCTATGGCTGACCACCAAACCTTTTGCAATCAAGAGAAAGAAAGTTGTCTTTATGCCCGCACGATGTCGCAGATTTTTTGTATGCTAATGCGTTTTGCGTTGTCACGAGTTCATGAAAAAAATTATAAAAAAGTATAAAAAAATCATATTAATTTTCAAAATGATCTTTTTCAATTTTATTTTTTTCATATTGAGCTGATTGAGAATTTTGCTTTGTAATTCTTTTTTAAAATACTATAGATTTCTATAATTTTTCCTTACATAATTTTTGTTTTATTACAATGTTTCCCTACATGTTTTTTTAAATTATATTTATCAATTTTTTAAAAATATCAAGCTAGTTGAGAATTTAACTTTAATTTTCCCCACATGTTTTTTTCTTCTTTTTTTCATTTTTTTTCCAAAACAGTGTTCTTCTTCCTTTTTTTTTTTTGTTTTTATGTTTTTTTTTAGAATTATTTTTATCAATTTTATTTTTTTAATATTGAGCTGATTGATAATTTAGTTTTGTAGCCTTTTTTTTTAAAACAGTGTGGATTTTTATAGTGTTTCTCAACATGATTTTTTTATTTTTTTTCAAAATTGTATTTATTGATTTTATTTTTTTTCATATTGAGCTGGTTGATAATTTAGCTTCGTAGTTCTTTTTTTTAAAATATTATGGATTGCTACAATGTTCTTCCATATGATTTTTTTGTTATAATTTTTTTTAAAAGTATCTTTATCAATTTTATTATTTCTAATATTGAACTGGTTAAGAATTACAACAATAGATTTCCTCATGAAACACTATAAATTGCTAGAGTGTTTTCCTGTATGGGTTTTTTTTCCTATAATTTAATTGTTTTTGTTATAATTTTTTTCAAAATTATTTTTGCTGATTTTATTTTTTTAATATTAAGCTGCCTGATAGCTGATTTTATTTTTTTAATATTAAGCTGTCTGATAATTTAACTTTATAATTTTTTTAAAAAAACATTATGGATTAAAATAATTTTTTTCATACATTTTTTTTTTTATTTTTACATTATGGATTAAAATAATTTTTTTCATATGATTTTTTTATTTTTTTTATGATTTGTTTTACAAACTCAAAATAATACACAAACATACTACAAAGCCACAACATCATCCGCGCATAACATCTAGTGTTTCCCTAAAAGGCAAACACATTTCTTGCAATTATATCCAACTTCATTCCTGCAAGTAGATGCAAAAAAACTCAAGCCAAATTAACAAAAGGGTGTTCTGTTTGTGCAGAGAGCCTTGAGAATATTTAAAGATATGCTAATTTTTTTTAAAAAATTATATTAATATTTTAAAATCATTAAAGAATACATTAAAAATATCAATTCAATATCTTTTTAAAATATTAGAAATAAAAATTACTGCCATCCTAAACATTTCAATTGATATGGTGGCCCGTCTATTGATAGAAACAAAAGATTGCACTTTTACATTATTGCCGTGAAGAATATGAGCCTCTGATGGATTTTGATATCACTACTAATTAATTAGTTTTTACGTAGACTGGTGCCCGCACTATATATTGTATTATATTTTTAATAAAATATTTATACGTTGCAAGCGTATTTTTTAAAAATAATTTAATAATTCAGGTTATAGTTTGTATTAACTAAATGAGCTGATTACATATATATATAAAAGGCAATGATAGCAAATGAAAAAAAATACATATATAAAAAAAGTGATTGTAATAACATGGGGAAAAAACCTTTATTCAAAAGCAAAGAATTTTTTATTTATTTATTTGGTTATATTTCATGAATTTTTTTATTAAAATTAATTTATAATAAAAATTGATACATATATAAAATTTATTGAATAAAGTAAAAGAAAAAAACTATGCAAGGCTCCATATATTAAAAATATAATAAAAATAAATATTTAATCTATAAAAAATATTTACAATAAATCCTATAAGCTCTTCAAAAATTAAATGCACCCAATATAATTAAAAATAATTGCTATTTAAAAATGATTAAAACCAAAAAATAACAAAGAAGAGGTATTAATTAAAAAAATAAATTTAAAAATTATTTAAAAAACATATAAAAAAGATATTAAAAAAATAAAAAAAATAATTTTCTCTTTCTAACCTGAAATCTATCGACCTCCTCTCTCTCCTTTATTAAAAAAAAAGTTAAAAAAAGGAGAGAAATAAAGTTTAAAATCAAGATTTAGTTTTTAAAAATTATAGAACCAATCACCTAATAGCTAAAATTATAGAAATAAAAATAAATTTTTTAAAAATATCTCAAAGTCGCCATTTATGTTACTTGTGTTTTTCATTTCATTTTTTTTTTCCAATTCAACCATTTTTTTTAAAAAAACATGGAATTAGATTCAAATGTGGACACCCAATCATACAAAAATAAATAAATTAAGAATTAAAATAAATAACCTTTAAAAGTACATTACTATACTCGATAATGAATAATAAAAAATAAAAAATAAAAATTGCTAAAACATTTTACCTGCAAACTTTAGTTTTTGTTAATACCCTGTCCTAAATGCATCTCGCAGTTACAAAAACTTTTTTTTTGACCCTCTCAAGCTAAATTAACTGAGAAAAAAAAAAGATGAAAAAAAATTGCAAATTTTGCAGACATCAGACAGGTGCACTTTTGGTACTGTGGCCGGCCCAATCAGAGAAGAACAAAAGATTCCACTTTTACATTATTGCCCTGTAGACCTTGGCCTTCGATGGCTTCAATATTACCTAGCAATATTGTAGATTGAAAAACAAATTTGTGAGAATTTATTTTTTTATTTTTAAATTAATTATTTTAGTGTTATTTTAATTATTAAAATCCAAATAATGTTTTATAGTAGAATATTTTTATAAATTTTATAAAGTGAATGTAGAGAATTAAGGTAGGAGACAAAAAAAACTTTTACTTTTTCAATAATGAAATCTTTTTTTAATTTTATACGAGTTATGTTTTTTTTATATATTATCAGAAAAAAAATATTATTTTTTTTAGTAAATTCTTTAATAAATTAAATCAGGTCCATTCATAATGCACAACGAAAGCCTAGCCGAATAACCAACAAATATATTACTATTTAATGCCATGATCCTAAATGCATTTCTCAGTTGACCCATGACAGATGGAAAAGCAGATTGTTATCATCGGAGCAGGAGCAAGTGGCCTTGTTGCCTGTAAGTACGTTCTCAACATTGGACTCAACCCGATTGTGTTTGAAGCTGAAGATAGAATTGGAGGAGTTTGGTCACATACTTTGGAGTCAACCAGACTGCAAAACACCAAAGAAATTTTCCAGTTTTCTGATTTTCCATGGCCTCCCTCGATAATAGACACGTATCCTACTCACACTCAGGTGATGGAGTACTTTGAATCTTATGCACAACATTTCAACCTCTTTCCTTGCATCAAGTTCAATTCCAAGGTCATCGGCATAGACTATGTTGGGGTGTCTGATGAAGAGATGGAGTCATGGGCTCTTTGGGGTGGGACAGGCAAGCCCTTTGGCACCGAAGCGAAATGGCATGTCAAAGTTCAAGACACAAAAAATGGCAGCATACAAGTAAGTTCATTTTTTCAAGAAGTCAATTAATATATATATCCATGTTGTTATGGACTGTGGTTGTGGCTATTTTTTCATAATAACTAATGAATTATGTTGGCCAGGTGTTTCATACAGAATTTGTTGTTCTTTGCGTTGGACAATTCAGTGGCCTTCCAAATATTCCAGAGTTCCTTCCAAATAAAGGGCCTGAAGTGTTCAAGGGCAAGGTGATGCATTCAGAGGACTTCTCAGCCTTGAACAATTCGACTGCAGCAGAGTTGATCAAAACAAAGAGAGTTACAATAGTTGGTTCTTATAAAACTGCAGCTGACATAGCAGCAGAATGTGCCAACGCAAATGGTAAGAAAACTTTCTGTTAAGGCGAATGTTCCTACTTGAACTCTTTTATCAGCTTAATGAAAAGACTTGCGTGTCTCGAGTGATTCCTTTAAGAAGCGGCAAGGTCTATGCTATGTTCGAAAAAGCCACTTCATTTTAGTTAAATCTGTGGATGGAATGCTTCATTAAAATCTGCGTTGTCGTCATTTGAAGCTTACTCTGCCTTTCTATAATCTATGATTTAGGAGTCAAGTACCCCTGCACTATGATTCAAAGGAATGCTCACTGGTTTTTGCCTAGTGACAAATTGAGTGGACTTCTACTTGGTTTCTTGTACTTCAATCGATTCTCGGAATTCTTGGTTCATAAGCCTGGTGAAACATTTCTATTAAGTTTTGTGGCCACCATGCTTTCACCCTTGGTAACTTCTATTTCACTCTCCCAATTGCTTTTGTTCATGAATGTTATATATGTGTGAGTTGCTCTGAATTATTATGCCAATATCTTGCTTTTAACTTTTTAGAGATGGGGAATTTCAAAACTCATTGAGACCTACCTTAGATGGAATCTTCCACTGAAGAAGTACGGAATGTTACCAAAAATTAGCTTTCTTGAAGATGTGTCTGCCTGTCAGATTGCAATGCTGCCTGACAAATTCTACGACAGAGTTGAAGAAGGAAGCATCATTATCAAGAATTCCCAAATCTTAAGCTTCTGCGAAGAAGGTCTAATCATAGATGGAGAAGATCAGCCAATAGAAACAGATGTTGTGATTTTTGCTACAGGATTCAAGGGTGATGAAAAACTGAGAAACGTTTTTGAGTCTCCTGTTTTCCAAAACAACATAATGGGGTCACCGACCTCTACAGTTTCCCTCTATAGGTCTTTTGTTAACTTCTTATTTCTTGCCATCTATCTTTCTATACGTTCTTTAAGTTTTTCTATGAATGCATCCTGCTTGATATTTCATGGTTAGTACTAAAAAAAATCTCTTTTGCATTCCCCTCAGACAGATAATTCATCCTCGAATTCCTCGATTGGCTATCATAGGATACAATGAGAATTTCTCAAATTTGGGTCGCTCAGAAATCAAAAGTGTATGGCTATCACAATTCCTTGATGGCAACCTTGAATTGCCAAGTATAAGAGACATGGAAAAGGAAGCAAACATGTGGGCAGATCACATCAAAAAAGTTACAGGCCGCTACTTTAGGAGAGCTTGTATTAGCAACTCAAGCATATGGTACATTGACCAACTTTGCAAGGACATGGGATGCAATCCCAGAAGAAAGAAGGGATTTCTAGTAGACTTGTTTATACCATATGCTCCAACAGATTATGCCGGTCTCACTAGTAAGTGAGGTTGTTCGATGTTTGTGAAAACTCCATCACAAGTTGAAACTATGTAATTTTATATGCTGGCTCCTGCAAGCTGCTCAAAGCAGAATAACTAGTTCAGGGCAATGATATTCTCTGGGTGGCAAAATAGTAATGGATTTATATTTCCAGTTTATAATTAGCCTTCTGCTTAAAATTAACCAGGAGTCGTGGACATGACTGTTATAATTGATATGTTTCCTAAGCCGAAGCAACATTTTCTTCCGTATTTCGTGACCTTTGTTAAGGCATATACCAGATGAAGATGTATTTGTATTAGAACTTCTCCCCCATTATATAGTTTTTGGTTTTTCTCTGAAACTTATCAGATTTGATCAAGCAGCATAGCAGACCAAGAAATTTTCACATTTCAGCGTAAATATGCATATTTCAATGTCACGGGGGTTTCCTTTTAGGCCATGGTGTTATATTACTTAACGGATACCAATGTAGCACCACTTTTGTAGTAAAAGATAAATGAGAGGACCGCAACGGTTGTTAGGTGATAGGACTGGGCTGCGTACCATCAAAACCAAAAAAGATGTGAACTTCTTAAAGACGAGGCCACAAGAAAATAAAGATAGATAAACTGAAAATACAAGACAAAGCTGCCTCATACCATATATTATGAGACTTCCTGCATAGTTTACCACCATGGCTACAATCATCAAACCTTTTTTGCCAAAATTTCCTTTTCAAAAACAGACACTACCCTTGAACTCTCAATGGATTTCTTGCAAACCAATCTCAGATTCAGTGACTTCTTTGCCAGTTTCACACTTCAGACAACAAGGACAATTTGCAGCTTCTGTTGCTTTCAATCCCTCTGGAAATTTCGACCTTCCTATATATGATGGAGAAGAGGGTAATAATCTCATTTTAATACTAGTCTTGAGTCATTTCTGGTTATAGTTATGCGTCCTTCAATTAAAATATTGCTATAGAATTGGTGTCTTGTAGTACTTGCGCAGTCTTAACAAGCATCCCATTTGAAGACATTATCAAGAAGAAGAGCGAAATATAAGGCTATTTTCTGAATTTAGCTGTTTTTCTTCGGAAGTTTTGAGACATGTTCTCGCTTAGGCCTTGTAGCTTCTAGGCGTTAATTTTGATGTGAAGCAGATGAGACCTACATTCTTGGAGAAATTATTGTTTTAGATATCAAGACCCCAGACCAAATTTCACCTTTTTCTGCTATCTTCAGTTAAACTTTATTAAATTGCCTAATTAGGCAGTCAGTAATGTCCATGATTGGTGATTTGTTCAAGATAGTTGAGTTTGAACAGTGCTGTACATAATATTCCATTAGTTATTGAACTTTTCAGTTTGCATTAGCTGTGGTCTAGTAAATTCTGTTTGAATTGTTTTTGGTATTCAATTCTGTTTAGTTTAATCTGTACTGATTGACAGATTCAACTGAAGTTAAACCACCTCCAATGCCCCCAACCGAAGGCAGATTCGAGATTGTAATCGATAATGATATAGTTCGCCGTCTTGACTTGTCCCCGTTTCACAAAGTCACAGGCTTTGTTTCACCCTCGCGAGGTAAGCACCATATAATCAAAGCTTAAACTCTTGTATCTGGGACTAGTTATATGCCATGTAGCCTTAATAAGGTCTTCTTGGCAACCTTTTTGTAGTGGAGCCGAAAGAGTTTCTTGAGCGTACAATTGGATTTACTATTAATTACACGAGAGAAGATCCGATGGATCCTCGAGAACTATCAGAGTTCCCTGATATAAGACTCTGGTTTTTGAGGCTTGATGCTGCTTATCCTTGGTTACCTGTCTTGTTGGACTGGCGAGCGGGAGAACTGGCTCGTTATGCAGCAATGTTAGTCCCTCACCAGGTAATAGTTAATGGATGAGAGTACTGCATATGATTTAAGCAGCTAATAGAGCATGATGGGAAGGCCTGACTTCTGAATTTTCTACTGGCAGGTGAATATGAAATTGGGAGTGGTTTTTAATCCTGAGGCACTGGAATTGTTTGTCATGAAGAAAGTTTTCGTCGTGTACTTTTGGTTGCAGCAGCAGAATGTTCCAAAGCCTAGACTCAAGACTAGTGACATGGCTAGGATGCTTGGATTTGGGATAGGAAATGAACTCTTTGACTTGATTGATCAACATTCTCCGGCTTCATAATTATGGAAAAACTTTGTTGTCAGGTTCATCCAAGATTTCAGACAGGCTTAAAGTTCCCCTTGCGATGACCAATTGGTGTCACTTGGGATCTTAGAAGAGCTGCAATCCACAAAAGGAAATCGACGGAGCCTGAGGGAGACAGAACCTCAAATTGCATTCTTGCCGTGGAGCTGCACAGAAAGGGGTCCCTAAAGTCCCAACAGAGCAAAATAATGATATCAAGTATTATGCACACCTCTATTTTGCTGTTCAATGTGCCTTTACTAGTAAAATTATATTAGATTTCTGAGTCCATATATGAGGTGTGATATGCATTTTGAAATCTTCCCAGAAAGTAACCTGAAACGATAATGGCTTAAGTCACCAAATTACAGTATGTGCAAGATGTTTGCGGCAGTAACCTGCTAATGCTGTGAAGCTCTCGCTTTAAGAAATAATTTGGCTTCACTCTTCTGTTAACTATATCTCCTTCCTCCTCTATAATCTGCATGAATCTGGCTGAAAAAACGAAAATTCAAATGGAAAACGATTCCAACGTGGTTCAACCCTGGATAATGCCCACGGTTGTGTCCCAGCAGTCCCGTTTCTCTGTCTATATATATATATATATATATTGCCTGCACTCTTTAATAAAATATTGTTTTGCACCCATTCATTTTCATATATTTTGTTTTAATTTTTGGCTATTTATTTAATATATTTTTATAAGGGTTTTTTTTTTAATGCCTATTCAATCAAACATATAATTAATATATTCAATCAAACATATTATTTTGTTAGTAAAATGTTTAATTAAAAAATAATAAGGGTATAAACAACACATAATTGAATTATTTTACCATCATAAACTTTTAAATTAGAGCTATGATAAGGATTGTTCTATTTTGGATACAATTTTCTAGTTTTTTCTTCTAGTTTTACTTCTCAATAAAAAACATTCATTATAATTCTTAAATTAAGTTCTATTTTGGATACAATTTTCTAGTTTTACTTCTCAATAAAAAAACATTCATTATAATTCTTAAATTATGTTTTGCAAAACTAATTTTTAATTGGTTCATACAAAAATAATAAAAACTAAATATATTAATCTTGGTGAATTAATTTTTTTTCTTATTTTCTCTATACTATGTTTTTTTTTTCATATTGACACAGGATTACAGACCCATCTCACCGTATGATTAGCAAATATGAATCTTTTATTATAACATTTCTTGTGAATTAATATCATTTTACTATTATAGTGTAATCTTTCTATGTTTTATTAAATGAAATCCCATTATCGGGTTAATATATATATATATATATATATACACACACACACCAAATAGAATATAAAATCAGGAAAAATGAGCGTGAATATATAAAATTAGTTGTAACAAACTTATATATATGTTGCGAATGTTGCGGATATGCTTAATTATATCATGGTTTTTGTCGTAGTTTAGAAATATAAAGATGTTATTTATATTCAGTTATATATATATATATATATATTATTAACCTTTTTTAAAGGGTTTGGATTAATTTTAAAATTCATTTGGTATTAACTAAAAAAATTACACTTTATTTTTTTCAAAAAAAGAAAAAAAGAAAAAATAGAATATAAAATCAGGAAAAATGAGTGTGAATATATAAAATTAGTTGTAACCAACTTGTAAACACGTGAAACGTTGCAAGTGGATTTAATATTTCAAATTATTTCTTAATAAAAGAGCATACCAATGTTGCGAATGTGCTTAATTATATCATGGTTTTTGTTGTAGTTTAGAAATGTAAAGATGTTATTTATATTTAATTAAATAAATTTAAAAAAATATATAAATCGATAAAGAGTGAAAGAGTTATTAATTCTAAATAATATTATTTTTATAAAATTAAAAAACAGATGGGTATGTAAATATTGTATGTAAATATTTAATAATGACCTTTCATTTTAATTTATATTTTTTTTATCTTAAAGGTTATTTTTTCTTCACTAGGAAAAAGTAATTTTATTTTAAAAATAAATGATACCAATAAAAAAATTTTATACCATGTATAAAATAAAAAATGAAAATATATATTACAATAGGCTATTTGAAACATGAAAAATACAAAATAAGTGGAAAAAAAATACTATTTAAAAAAAAGAGTCAACAAAACAATTTAAAAGGTGAGAGAGATAGGGTATTAATTCAATTGAAATAAGAAAAATTATTTAAAATAAAAAATTCATAAAAATAAAGGGAAGGTATTAACTAAAAAAATTACACTTTATTTTTTTTTTAAGAAAAAGAAAAGAAAAGGAGAGAGATCAAGTGTTGTTCAACTTGAAAGGTCACGCCCAAGCACTCGATCAATTACACCAACCTAGGCGTGCTTGGACATGAAACTATACATTTGGGCAAATAGGTTTTATTTTTAAAAAGTTAAAAATAAACGATGTTTTGTTTGATGTTTCCTATTTATACGGTCTGAAACTCATTGAAAAGGCTTTTAGCTCAAAAATCTCACTTTCAACCAATCTTTTAATAGTCAGATATCTAAGAAATACCTTAAAAATCATAATAAAATTATTTATGATATTAAAATAGCAAAAAAAATTATTTAAAAATCACAAAAACAACCTAAAACCATAAAAATTTTATAATGGTCAATCTACTTTTCCAAATAATATAAAAGCCAAAAACAAAACTTCTTTCATCAAATCTAACCTTATGATATCACTCTAAATTATTTTAGATGTTAAAATTGTGATAATCAATAACTTTATCTTTCTTTAGCTATTTTTCAGTAATTTTTTTTCTCCTTTCTTAAATTTACCCACTAAAAAATTAGCAAAATGAAAAGTTTGGTAAATTTGGAATTAGAAATGTATTATACCTATGTTTTATATTTTAGTTCTTGTTATTTTAATTTGGTATTTCTTACATAATTTCAAATTCAATCTTATCTAATTCAGCTATAAAGGGACTAAACAGAAAAAAAAAATGATATAGAAATTGAAAAAAAAAAAAGGTGCTTAAACAGTGAAACTCTATATATTACAATAGGCTATTTGAAACATTAAAAATACAAAATAACTGGAAAGAAAATACTATTTAAAAAAAGTCAACAAAACAATTTAAAAGGTGAGAGAGATAGGGTATTAAT